GGGGGGGGGACCAAAAGGGAGTAAAATAATGGAGATGAAACGAAGAAGAAGAAGACGGAAGGATTTTTAATAAGGGGTATAGCGCCATTAATAGTGGCGCTATGTAAGATGAGATTTTGGGGTATAGCGCCATTAATAGTGGCGCTATGTAAGATGTGTCAGTTTTACTATATATAACGCCACAAAAAGTGGCGCTATACAGTAACGGTGCAGTTACCGTTACTGTATAGCGCCACTTTTGTGGCGTTATATATAGTTTGGTAACTTTTTTTTTAACACTTATTTACGTATTTTGAGTAAAAAAAACCACATTTTGGTTCCGGACTCTTCATTCATTACATAGATATTTAGATAGATGCTCTTACTTTTATCATAATTGTTATTACCATGCATGCATGTACGCTTAATTAACATTACTTTCTTCGTTTCGTTCTATTATAAATATTCTTTCCATTTTACTAATAATTCATTTTAAAAATTTGACATCTCTACTCTTCCGTTTTAAAACTCTGGTTTAATTATAATGACTTCAGAGAAGATCTAGATAATTTGGTCTACTATATGTACGTAGTACATATATATTTTATGCAACAAAATCTTTTTCTTTTTAAATTGAAACATTGTCATATGTCACTTTCTTTTTCATGTTCATATGCATGCCTAAGTCAGCGAGAAACACTATAAGTGTATTGGATTGCAAGGGGTAAAAGTGGTGCACAAAAAAGTAGAGGTAAATTTTTATTCTTTTAACTGATAAAAAAGGACTGAATTACAGCAGTGCCTTTAAACACTGACTGCAAAGAGTGGAAAAAAGAGTGGAAAAAAGAAAATCTATAATTGTTGGAAATGCGTTTTATACTAATAAAAGTTGATTGCACGAAAATTCATTTTGTCTGTTCAAAATGCCATGATAATGCGATCTGGACAACTTTCGTCATTAACTTTTCCTTCTGCATTAAATGCCGATTTTTTTTTGTGATTTTATATGCAAACTAGGAGTACTAGTTATTTATATCCGAGTCAAAATTAAAGTTCAACCATACTTATACTTAAAAATAAAATAATCTCATATTTTTATCCGGAAACGACCGTAATTAAAGTGAGAAAGAACAACGTACGGATGGAGGAAATGCTCAAAAAGCCAAGCTCTTAAAATGGTGACAGAGCGTTCAGGCAATCCCCTTTGTGGTCTCCAAGCTTCTGCATCCATCATTCCCATTTGGTGAAACGCCCTTTGCTGCTGCCTTAAGCTTTTTTCGAGCAGCTTAAGCCTCGGAGTTTCTCCTTTAGTTAATCCCGAAGTGGTGGCGTCTTTTTCACCCAGCAACTCACAGCTGTGCTTCAATTGCGCTGCTATCGCATCTTTTAGACACTTGAAATGCCGAGACATGGCTTTCTGTGCAAGTGCTGTGTATGGAGCTGCTGCTCCAAAACCCATCACTAGATCAAATGAATTTACTACCGTCTGCATTTGTTCGCAATAGTGGTTGTATCTTTTGTCCACCTGCTCGCCAAACAAGTAATAATTGTAGACAACACTATAAATAATATTTTTATGCTATCAATTAAGTTACCTACAATAATAGATACTATCTGTTTATAATAAAACATGATCCAATAACATGGAAAATAAAGTTATAACAACAAAAGAAAGTAAAGCAAAAGAAAACTTAACAAACAACCAAAATAATAAACTTGGTCTAATTAGTTGAATAACATAAGGTGCAGCTGGGAAGTCATTTCCTCAATAAGAAAACTACTCCAATCCTACTAAATTTGTGACCTACATATAAGTAAGAAAAATATCTTCATTTGTAAATAAAATATTGGTGGAAAAATAAGAGAAAACAAAAGAAAGGAAGATAGCTACTTGCCTGTGTCTTCGCTAGCATTCTTTCAGTACATCCAACAGGTAATACTAATACTATGATGTATTATAAATATTTTCAAAAACAAAATGAAGTAAATTATATTCTCATAGAAGGATGTAGCAAGTAGCATCCCTTTGTGGCTTTGTCTGTATTGAGATATGACCGTCTCAAATAAATAAAAATGTACGTTGATATATTACATCTACACGTCATTTCTGCTGCTGGAGTTATAACATATTCTTGCAGAAGGATTTAAGATGATGGTAGAGTGCAAGCTAATTTTATCACTGGACTTTTTAACACTCTCACCAAAACCAAAATCTTATGTTAAAATACTCATTTCTAAATTAAAATGAAATCAAATATGGACATTACAAAACTTATTTCTCTAGCCGGCTTTCTATATTCTCCTCTATAAAATATTCCTCCCAAGTCCCAACTGCCGGAATTTTCTATTCTTTCCTTTCTCGTGGTTTTAATTTATATTTAACGTACTAAACAAACAACAATCATTGGTCAATGACCCTCTAGAGAGAGAGAGAAAGAGAGAGATTGTACATGCCTCATCAAACATGGATAAAAGTTTGACCTTCCTTCTCTGATGCTCAATCCTATCTGCAGCTGACAAAGGAGAGAGATCCTTTGAAGAATTATTATTATTATTATTACTGCCACTAGGGTTATTAAAATTAGGGTTAGAGCTTGTTGTTGTGTTGTTATTCCTGGAAACTTTGTTCTTCTTGAATAATTGACTCCTCCCAACACTACAAAACTCTTCCAACAACTCTTGTGCAGCTTTGGCATACTTGGAATTTCTCAATACATTCACTGGTCCTAGTGAAGATCCAAAACCAACATGAATTTGACGATGATGATTTTGACTTTCTCCTTGATTGAAAAACAACATTTCTCCCCCACTCATTCTTAATTGATCCTCTACTTTGGCTGCTTCCAAATGCTGTAAAGAAGATGACAAGGACAATGAAAGACCTTGCCCTTCAATTACATTTACCCCTCCAATATCATTAGGGGTATTAAAGTGGTTCCCAGTGTTACTTGCTCCTCCGCATATGAATTGACCGAAATGCCCTCCGATTGCATTCGGAACCCCTTGAAGAGTTGTAGTAGGATGTGCAGAAGATGGTGAGGGTGACCTTGGCTGTGGATTTATAGTGAAAAGATTCATGGCTGATGCTGACTCCACCACATTTATACTTGATATGTGATTGTGCTGACGCTGATAATGAGCAGTTATACTATCACGGCCATTCAATACCTTCGAATTATCAAGTGATTCACTGGGTACTTGCAAACTTCCACCAACTACCATCCCTTGTCGGTTACTGAACCACTCACTTCCTAGGTTGGTTGTCGGAGGTTGCTGCTGCTGTGGCCGTTGGTTCGGGTGTCTATAACATTGACTTAGCTGGTTTTGAAGCAACTCAGTTGCCGCAGCTGTGGTTATTCCAGGAGGGAAATTGAACATTTCAGACAACATTCCAGCGGTCCCATAAACTTGAAGTCCACTTGATTGCTCTTCTTCAATAGCCACCAAGGGCGGTGGCGGATTGAACCCGTCTACTCTTAATTTTTCTTGTCGGATCTGGTGAGCGATGTGTAGTTGTTGTTGTTCGTTTTGAGGTCTCTCAACTAGGCTCGAGAAACTAAAAAGACCTTGGTGGTGATAATCTTGAGACATAGAATTATCCAAAGAATTGGACTTTTCTGGGAGCTGAATTGGATTATGAGCGGCCTTAAATTTGTTGAAGGGTGTGACCATCTCATCTAATCATCTCTTTCTCCTCCAACATCGCGGTAAATTAACCCACCTCCTTCTTTTGATGTAAATGGCTGCTCACTCTACCATGGATCGAGCATAAGATATATAGTACAAACAAATAAACGTTTATGACAGTTTTATTTCATATAAATATATAGAGAGAGATCATTGATACAACTATAATTAGGAGTGATGAAAGTATAAAAAAAAAAAAAGTATCAAAGAGCTGCAAAAGAGAGAGAATCAAAGAAAGGACTTTTTCTTTAATTTTTGTTTTGAAAATGGAAAATTCAGCTTTATCCATGTAATTAAGCACAATTACCTCATGGAGTTGCCGGTCGCAAATAAAGATTGCAAAGGCAGCTCTAAGATATCGTTATCGCTTCTGTGGGATTTCAAAACCAAAGCATCCTTAACAAATGAACAAAATTCTTCTCTCTCTGTCTGTTGTTTCTCTTTCTTTTTCTGTCTCTATCTCTATCTCTATCTCTATCTCTATCTATCTTTGTTACTCTATGTGTTGCAGTGATTGTTGTCTCTGCAATCGACTTCTGGAAAGAGAGAGCTGAAGTTACAAGAATAAAGTATAGTGCTTTTTAAATAAAGATGGAGTTGTGATGTAGTGTGATATATTGTGGGTTTTTATTATAGAATTATTTATTTACACTAGATATAAAGTTTTTATGCAAAATCAGTAAATATTAATTTGTAGTATCGAATAACCTATTACCTACCTCATTTTCAAGTTATTAATCTCACTTTTTATAAGTGGTAACTTGTAATTATCTTTTAAATAATATAATAAAGTAAAATTTGTTAGACATCTCTATAAGCTATACTCTTATAAGCTTCGTCGAAAAATTACACCGTATATATTTTGGTAAAATTTTATATTTTAGAGGTATATAACGTATTCTTTATCCGAGAATTTCTTTTTACTTCTTTTAAGTTTGAACAACCTTGCAGAAATTCGTGACTTTGCCAATCCCAGAGGGAGAAAATTAAACACAAAAAAGAAATAGGGAGCGGAAAAAAAGAAAAGGTCGTTGTTCTTCTTGCTCGTTTCCTTCACTCAACTAATTATTTCTTCTACTAAGTATCAATATACTAGCATTAGTTTATCTTACTTCCTTCATTTGACAAATGAAACTTTAAAAAAGTCTATTTTAATGCAGGGAAGAAGATAGCGTATTTGAATTATTTAATGAGATTTCAAGATGATACATATGGCCTCTGCAACTAGCTAGCAGCCTAGCACAAGTGAATACTCCCTTGTTCCAGTTTACGTGAACTTATTTCTTTTTTGGCCCGTTCCAAAAAGAATAATTTCTTTGTAAATATGGAAACAATTTAGTTTAAAATTATAATTTTACGCTTAACAAGAAACTTTTATAACCACACAAATACTCTAGGCCCTTTATTGACTTATTTAGGACCATAAATTCCAAAAGTCTTTATTTTTTTTTAAACTTCGTGCTCAGTCAAACAGATTCACATAAATTGAAACGGAGAGAGTAAAACCTTCATGGTTGATGACCACTGAACCAAGATTTTAAAAAAAAAATGAAAAAGGAACGGGAAACAATTTAAAAAAGCGTGAAACTTTTAGTAATTTCTCTATTTCAACACCTTATATGACAGTATTTGATTAAGAGTTTAACTTCTGTGCATTGATCGATATGATAAATATTTTTATACAATCGGCTCATTTATATGGTAATTACATGTAAGTCTTTTTTATGAATATTAATTGATAACATGATAAAAATAGCAATAACTAATGGCGTATAAAATTTAAATCTAATATAAAATTAATATTGTGATCGTTACTGTGTTAAAACAAAAATCAGAAAATAAAACTGTTAGAAGAATAAAGAAATCTAGAAAAAAATAATAAAGAATCAGAATTATTCCGAGTCCACAATTTTCTTGTGTGTCCTTAAGGAATTTTAACCCCCTCACACGTTGCCAAGGTAATGGATTAAATCCTCCCAGGATAAAACGGAATAAACCTTCCTGCAACAGTGGCAATACAAACTGCAGGATACCAACGAACTCAAAGAACGGAGCAAAATCACACTTACGAATTTGAGAGAGAGAGACTGCGAATTAGGATGCAGTATATTCAGAAAGAAAGAAGTTCTGGAGTGTTTTTCGTNTCCTGCAACAGTGGCAATACAAACTGCAGGATACCAACGAACTCAAAGAACGGAGCAAAATCACACTTACGAATTTGAGAGAGAGAGACTGCGGATTAGGATGCAGTGTATTCAGAAAGAAAGAAGTTCTGGAGTGTTTTTTGTGTGTAGAAAATGGAGCCTTGCCTCAGAATTTATAGGCAAATATCAGAAGAGGTGTCTGGAAAGGTGCCTTTTCAGAAAATACGCGGCCTGCCGCGGTTCTACCGCGACCGTGGCAGAACCGCGGTCAGAGAGGCTCTCTGAATAAACCTGCCGCGGTTCCACCGCGACCGCGGCAGAACCGCGGTCATATAGGCTCTCTGAATCTTCAGCAAGATTCTGGCGTATTTTCCGCAGTGACTTGGCATTTAATTAATTATTAAATAATTTAAATAAATTTTGTCCAAAAAATAATCTCATCGATCATTTGACAAATCCAAATCAAAATCCAAAGCCGAAGCCGAGCCGAGCGAGCGACGGCGACGGCGTGAGGGTTCATTCTCTTCAACTCCTTTTAAGAGCTTTAAGAAGTTATTCTATATATAAGCACACAAATGTGGTTGTCCCTCACCAATGAGGGACAAAGTGCAAGACAAAAGTTTACTTCTTCAAATTTTTCATTTTCCCTCCATTTTTTTCCCTCCATTTCCAATTCACACTTCTTTTACTTTAAAGCCCAATGGCTTAAAGTCCAACAGTTCCCCACATGAATGAGAATGTCTGTATCAAGAAAGATCATAGATGAAAGCTATGTGATTTTGCAAGTAAGGATTAATTGCATCTGGATAAGTAGGTTTCCCCTTGAACTTTCCGTAGTGAACATATGTCGGATATACTCGGTCAATCGGTAGATTTGATATCTTTGAACCATCGAACTTTAGTGTATACCTAGACAGTCATATGTCACACAACCAACACTTAACCGTCTTTTGGTTCTCATTGTTGTGTTCGTTTTAGCCATGAACACCGCCTGGTCTCATAAGTGCGTAGAGAATTGGCCTTACAGAATTCTCCTTGAAGCGGCTTACACTTCACACTTACGTAGGTGATTCCTAAACGTGTAATCCTTTAGATTGACACTATTTGATAGATACCTCATCAAACTTTGGTAATCATTAAAGAACGTGTAAAGTTCTATCCTTGTTACTGAACATTGTCTTCATCACGAGAATGGACCAAAGATTTTATTTTGACAATGTTGAACCGGTCAATCACAACTTTGTTTGAGCTCCTTGAACCTAGATCTCGGAACATCCAAAATTCTAGGTAGAGTTACCGCCATGTTGACTTGTCCTCGGCCATAGTCCCATTCCCTTAGATGATTTCTCAACTCCCTCTCTAGTTAAGCCTTTTGTAAGCGGATCCGCCACATTATCCTTTGATCTTACATAATCAATAGTGATAATTCCACTAGAAAGTAGTTGTCTAACGGTGTTATGTCTTCGTCGTATATGACGAGACTTTCCGTTGTACATAACGCTCCCTGCCCGTCCTATGGCAGCCTCACTATCACAATGTATGCAAATAGGAGCCAAAGGCTTTGGCCAGAACGGAATGTCTTCTAAGAAATTTCGAAGCCATTCAGCTTCTTCACCGTCTTTATCCAAAGCTATAAACTCTGATTCCATTGTACAACGAGCGATACACGTCTGTTTGGAAGATTTCCAAGATATTGCTCCTCCACCAACAGTAAAAACATATCCACTTGTGGACTTTGTTTCTGTTGAGCCGGTTATCCAATTTGCATCACTAAATCCTTCGATAACCGCGGGATATTTATTGTAGTGCAAAGCGTAGTCTTGGGTATACTCCAAGTATCCCATAACTCGTTTC